TCTCTTCTGAGTTCTAATGTTATTAGCTGTTCTTTAAAATGTAGCCATCAGCAAGTAGGAAAATAAATATCCCTAAACTCTTTCTATGCAATATGCTCAGTCTTTAGATTAGTTAGCATGATTCCCTAGTCTACTGGTAATTTGCGTATAATAAGCAGTCACTAAATGGCATAGTACAACTCAGCTATTCTTTTAAGCATTTCTATTCACTATTCAATTTTTAAATGCTTTATAATCATTTTTGTTTGATTTTATTCATAATAACACTGTGAAACAGGTCAACATTAAACTCACAGGAATCTAAGCTTTTCAGAGATTCTATGTAATTAAGCTTTTATGTCCCTACAAGAAATTGATGGTAGCGTCACTTTATAAGGTCGCACAGAAGTGATGAAACATTTCTAAGGACTACAAAGGGAAGTACTGATTGAATGAATTTTAGTATGAAGTTCATCTGATGGCCTTGGGGGGAGGGGATGTTGATCCAAAGCTGGGAGCACTCTACATATGGATTCACGAATGCAGCAATAATCCCTAAAGCAAAATTACAGACACAGTTTCTTTCACAATCAAAATGATCCACCTTGCTTATCTCGCCTCTATCGAAGTTCCCACTAAGTTCTACTAACTCTTTGGCCATATGTTTTGAACCAACTCTTATCATTCACTCTCCTAACCATCATCCTATGTCACTTCATCTAAGGATCACTTAATCATTTACATCAATACTGAAATTCCCTATACTTTGGCTTCTACAATATCTTCTTCTTATCTGGCTGCCTTCATTTTCTTCTTGGGTACTTTTCCTCCACAAACTCCTTTGTATGCGAGGCTAGCATTCCAGATGTTGACATATTTTGACTCTCTCTCACTCTATGATCTCCCAAGATGATCTTACCAACCACACAGCTTTAAGCAGTACTTCTGCTCTGAAATCTTTCAAATATCTCTCTATTCAATCTATACCTTTATTCTGTGCTGGCACATATACCCCCAATGCCTATTAAACATATCCAATGGGCATGGCATGGGCACTCTAAACCTTACATGTCAAAACCTGCTTCTTTAAATGTTTATCATTCTGTATCTTGGTAAATGGAATCATCATCCACTCAGGCAACCAAGCCAAAAATCTTGGAGTCATTCTAGAATGTTCTTCTATGCCTTTCTTCCTACATTCGGTAAACCTTTATGTAGTTTTTCAAAATATTCAGAAACTACTATGTACCAGATATTAAGCTAGGTGCTGGGTATACTGTAATAAGCTAGCTAAGCATTATTTTTACATTCACAGAATGTACATAACAAATGAGATATAGAGAGCTAAAGAGGCCATTCACACTATAGTCTCCATGAAAAGCACACCCAAGGAGTTTGGCAATATACAACTATGGAAGTTATATAGGTGACCATGCAAATACAATGTCTAAAGAACAAAAGTACCATGTATAATATATATATATATATATATATTTTTTTACTAAATTTCTAATTTCATTCCCATTGCCATTTATTTGATTCCAACTGTCATTCTTGTCCTCCTGGAGTGCCACAATAGCTCTTTATCAATTTTCTGCTTTTTATTTTTCCCAGTCCTCATTCTATTCACTCACTACAATGTTGCCAGAATGCTCTTTCTAAAATTTCAAGCTGACCACCCATATTAAACTCTACCTATTGGACACAATAAAGCCTATTTATACTTCATTCATCTACATATATTCTCTGCTGAGGACATGCTAAGTTCCTTGCAAATCTCCATGCCAGGTATGCTCTCTCATGGCTCTATGGCTCAAAACATGGTTAATCCTCTACCATAAATAATCGTCCCCATCAGAATACTCCTCCTTGTCCTTCCACACTCATCTCTGGCATCAACCTGTCTATAATAGTGTCCTTAAGAATCACTCTAATCCCGGGTACCCCATATCTGTTCTCCCATTTCACCCTGCCATATATCCATCATATCAATTATAGAATCAGATTCTAATCACAAATTCATCACTGTTTCCTGCTAGACTATAAACTTTTTTTTTTTTTTTTTTTTTTTTTTTTTGAGACAGAGTCTCACTTTGTTGCCCAGGCTAGAGTGAGTGCCATGGCGTCAGCCTGGCTTCACAGCAACCTCAATCTCCGGGCTCAGCGATCCTACTGCCTCAGCCTCCGAGTAGCTGGGACTACAGGCATGCGCCACCATGCCCGGCTAATTTTTTGTATAATATATTTTAGTTGGTCAATTAATTTATTTCTATTTTTTGGTAGAGACAGGGTCGAGCTCAGGCTGGTTTCGAACTCCTAACCTTGAGCAATCCGCCCGCCTCGGCCTCCCAAAGTGCTAGGATTACAGGCGTGAGCCACCACGCCCGGCCTTAGACTATAAACTTTTGAAGGGCAAGGACCCTGCTTTTCTCATTTACATATTTTTCTTGCTATAATAGTACCTTACATGTGGAAATACCTCAGTAAATATTTGGAGAATAAATTAATTGGTGGCAAATACTTTATCTTGCATAAAATGGTGCCAGATTCTTTCTCAAATGCCATGTTATGAAGCCATAGTTAGCTCAGAATGGACAATCGTTCCCTACCCTTCTATTGTGAAGGGCCTGGAATATAGATGGGGACTATGACTTGGTCATAGTCCTCTTCTGAAAAAAAGAAACGATAATCTTACATTTACTTCAAAGTTCAAGGCTCACTTCCTCTAGGAAGCTTGTTTTGACCATTACTTCAACAGAAATAGAATTTCCTTACTTGAACATCTAATGTTTTAACATAGGAATAAATATTTGTCTGTACTTGCACTAAGAAATTTCTCTAGTCATATGTATCCTCTTTCCCCAAATTTTATGTATAGATAGATAGATAGATCTAGACCTAGATATAGATATCTCTCTGTATATACATCTCTCTAGATATATCTATAGAGGTATATCTCTATATGTCTCTTTATATAGATATATATCCAGGACCTTATGGATAAAGACTGTTATTTCTGTCAGTTTTCTGTTACGTACTCCATTGCTGTGAGTGTGCTGGATATTCTTTCTTTATTGCATATATTTAAGATATACAACATGATGTTTTGATATACCTATCCATAGTGAAATAATTAATACAGGTAAGCAATTTAACATATCCATCACCTTCCACATAGTTACCCCACTTTTGTGTGTGGAAAGAACTCCTAAAATCTATTTTCATCAAATGTTCAATATACAATACAATATTATTAGCTATAGGCCCCCTATTGTTCATTAGATCTTTATACATGTTTATCCTACATAACTGCTAGGTATTTAATATGCTCTTTTTGAGGAAATGAATCAACATAGTCCCCTCTGGATTATGTGCTACCAAAACTTCTCTCACAAATTCAATTATTTTCTATCTTCATTCTATTGATTTGGTCAACATTGTCCATCAGAGCTGACCACTTTCTCCTTGAAAGGTAGACATTGTTTACTTGCCATACACTATACCCTTCAGATTTTTCTTCTACCACTCTGGCTACTTCTTAGTTGCTTCAGGGAACGGCTCTTCCTTCACCAAACCATTAAACATTAAGTGTCTTAGGGGTCTCTGCTTATCCCCTATGACCATTTATCATTTTAACCCTCACAGGCAGCATAAACAATCTGTGCTTTTCATAATGCCATTTTCCTAGAGGAAGAAAAGTCACTCCGTTCCATTTAATGTGGGCAAGAATGTGTTTTAATGAGCATAGTTCCCAGAGTAATACCAAACAAGGGGATAAAGGAAGAGCAAACCATTGAATAATTTTAGAAAAAAATTCCATAGACATATAGCATAAAAAGACGTTTCATGATTTTTTAAGCTTTATAAGGACAGGGTTATGTGCAGCGCAGGGAAACTTAAGGGTTATTTTGTTCTGTAAAAGGTAACACAGTGATTCAGATCATGTTAGCAAATATAAACACATTTGTGTTTGTTTGATCTGGCTTTAAACCACTGAAGAGGACACGTGTGCATTTACCATGGCGGCCTCCCTCTGGCAGAAGTGCTTAAGTGTCTGCTAATGTCTAGTGACTCGCTCAAAAAAGGATAAAACGACACACTCTCAGGCAAGCAAGAAGATTTAAATAGAGCCAATTTAGAAAGCACAGTACCTCAGCAAATTCAGAAATTAATCCAGATTATGACATTTTGCTGTTAGGATCTATGTCAAAAATCCAGTTCTACCACTCCAATTTAGAGGTAGGAGTAGGGGAAGGGAGTCAAAAGGTATATTTCATAAAACTCCTCATGTGTTCCAAAGTATACCTTCAAAAATCAGAGAGTAAAAAATGACCAGCATGTGTTATCTCAAACAAGTAGAAATTTAAGCTGAATTTTTAAAAATAAATCAATTGGGAATGGGAGGGGGTTGTAACATTGTAATATAAAGAATCTAGAAATTTAGATAATATGTATGAAACATGTTTCTGTCTTTTGTATAATATAATTTATGATAAATTACTTCTTCAAGTAGTTATTTAATCCACAAATTTCATCCAGGACTCTAACACCTAACAGTTCTCCAGTGTTCATGAAGGAATTACTTACTGGCTGAAGGTCCCGGGTCACTAAAGCAAACTAGAAAATGTAATTGAGACTTTATTGCTACATACACCTATCCAACCTGGGAGAAACTAGATAGTAGCATTTTAATAGTCCAAAATTGTGTACTGAGGCTGAAATGTTCACATCTGAGCTCAACAAATTCCCAGAGACAGATTCATAAATAGATTGTATAAATGAGAAATATTAAATCAAGTGATTCTGTATATCGAAAAACACCAACTGCTTTGAGACATGATCCATTTTACTCACTGTTATTCCTGAAATTATATCTTATAAGTTTCTTGGTAACATGTCAGTGGGATTTGTTTAAAATATTTTTATTGACAATAATTTATATTGCCTGTATATATAGCTCTTTCTCTGTGATATTCATAACCAACCTAAAAATTCTCTGAAAATTGTATTGAGATCATTACCTTGCTTCCATTTTCTCTCGCCTCTCGTTCCATCTTGAGGTCCGAAATTAGAAGATTCTTATATTTGTTTTTTCCATTACTGCTCTGGTCATCTATTCTGTATTCCGAAGTCAACTGTGCAGACAGGGGACTGTCACTCAGGTTCAGTGGCTGTTCCTCCTGCTCCAGCCCAGTTTTGCCATCACTGTTGGAGTCTCCCATCTCCCTGCTCTGTGTTCCCCCTGAAGCAATTGAACTGTGCCCCAGAGTCTCATTGCCATTAAAACTCTCCGCAGCAGAATCATCTGTTGGGAAAAAAAGTTATATTTTGGTTTGAATTAATATGCTATTCAGTTTCTACCTCAACTAGCATTTATTGAGCTCTTATGTGCATGGCACTGTGCCAATTAATTTTACTTATAATGTGTAGTTTAACCTTAGCAATAAACTTGTGAAGCAACTATATTTTTAATCTAGTATGTACTTTTAGGCTCAAGAAGTGAAATAAAACAATGAGAAGAAGATAAAATGGAGAAAACAGTTCAATCTCAAATGCAATCTCAAAGAAAAATAAATTAAGCGAAGAGAATAACATAATTGTCAATTATTTTGTAAATAGTTTTTGTTTTTCCAGTGAGAATCTGCAGATTTGGTGAAAGTTTTCAGATAAAAAGCATCACCTATCCTGCTAGCGGAGTTGCATATTGACACAAGCTTTATGAGTGTTTATTTCTAAAACATTAAATGTGCTCATATACTTTGCTCCAGTCATTACACTTCTGGGACTTTGAAGCCTAAGGAGTTTCATCATTGTGTGCATCTCTATGTAGGTAAAAAGACATAGGTAAAAAGGCATTTAATCCAGTGCTGTTTATAATAGAAAAAAAAAAAAAGAAAGAAATTACCAAACATAGAAGATTGGCTTACTAAATATTAGAATGGTTAGAATATTAGGCAGTTATTCAGTATTTCATTTTAAGGCATGAGGACACATGAGTTATGAAATATTAAGAGGAAAAAGCAAGCTACAAAAGGATGTGGCCAGTATGATCCCAATTTTGTAAAAAGAAAACACATAGAATTTACATAAAATAATATTCTATTTCTCTTAATTAATTTCATCTTCATTTATATAATAGTAATTTGCTACTAATTTTAAAGAATTATGATGGGCAAAGGTATTAAATGTCTTCCTTTAGTTAAAAACTGTTAATGAAACCACATAAATATGGATGAGCAAGATAAATAACATTCAATATTTTTGTTTTCTGAATATTTTCAAGTATGCTTTTTTTGCAGGGTGCAATGAAATATTTAATGCCTTCTAATCAATTATATTGATGGAAATAATATTTAAATTCTGAATGAGTACTATAATTTACCTGTTCATTCATTTATTCAATAACATTTATTAAGTGATTTGTCTGTGGCCAATGTGGAGTTAAATATTTGGCCTATAGAGACTGATTTCAATGAGTTCACAGATAAATGAAAGAGACAGAAAAATAAACATGCAATTAAAATGCAAAGCAAAAAGGCAGTGATCCAGTGCAAAGGGTAAAGGCATCACAGAAGGCTCCTAAAGAAGGTGATATGAGTTGAATTCCAAAGGTGAGTGAGCCTTAATCAGGTGTAGAAGTTGAGGAAGAGCATAAAGGGATCAGCATGTGCAAAGTCACAGAGAAAGGGACATGCATGGCAAGTGAGAAATAAAATTAGAGCACTGAGTGCAAAAAAAAAAAAAAAAAAAGAGAGAGAGTAAAGAAATATAACCTTGGAAAGGGAGAAAGAAAATAATAGGGGGAATGTTTTGTATATCACAGAGCTTGGATTTTCTCCTAAGAGCAAATAGGAGAAATTTTAATTTATTGTGGAAAGTAAAATGGAAAAAAATATGTTTCGAAGAGATTATTCTGACTCTGATGAGTAGAATGGCATGAAGGGGACAAAATGGAAGATGGGGAGAGCAATTAAGAGATCTAGGAGTCATAGAAGTTGGTATCTTTGAAAACTCAAATTGAAGCAGTGTCAATGCAAAAAAAGAGGAGGGAACTAGAAAGATGTAAGAATAGAACAGGTAAGATGAGTAATGGGATAGGCAAGGATTCAGGTTTGTAGCAAAAAATTAGAAGCCAAAGGCTTCTAAGCCAAAGGGCATTAGATTTGAGTTTAATTTTTAATAAAATAACATTTTAAAACAATTTTCCATAACTATTTTGTGAAAAAGTTAAAATGTATTCAAACAGCAAAATTCTATCAAATTACTCATTTCATGTACCCATTAAAAAAGAGTTTATATGGAGAGAAAAGAATACATGGGAAAATTTAGGTAACTGACCATAAATAATATGACATTGCATTTTTCATAGCTATTAATTTTAGAAATCAAAACTATTCTTTTAACAATGAAATGTCTAGGGCTTTGAAATAAAGAATTAAGGGGAGGATTTGTATAAGTAATTTAGATAATAGGTGTGTTCTTTTATGCCAATTCAAATTCTTATGCTAAAATGTGAACGGTGATTTCTAATTACTTAAATTATTTTTTCCAAGAAGTCCAAAGAAAAGCACAATGGACATACTCAATTAGAATTTTTAATTCATTAAAAAAGTGATTTAACATTTATATACTAAAATCCTTTTAAAAATATACTAAACATTTCATATACGAAAGCTTTAACAGTATGTTATTAAAGAACTCTAAATACATATATTTTAAAACCAATTCTACACTACCCTAAAACAAATCCAATTTCTACTACAGTTAAAAATTAAACATGCTATATCTTTTTCTGTAATCTGAAATCATGGTATATATCTAGTAATAGTATATTATTTATTCATTTTTAGTTAAGATAAACATTATCACTTAACAGAAGAGGCTTTAACAAATGTCATATATGTATAATTTCAGAATAAAATATAAACAATAAGAGAGAAAATATTTTTAGATGGAGTAGTTCACTCCAGATGTTACCAAGGTAACTAAATTCAACAGCTTTATGTATTTCATTCCCAAGAAAATCAGTATGTTTTATGGAGAATAAATAATTTACATCAAATATATATATATTCACCCACATGCTTTATAATGTAAATGGTAAAAAAAATAATGTCTCATGATACTGTTTTATAAATCCAAATTTAAAACAAAATTTTTGATATCTCTATTTTAAAAATATAGAGCAGTGAGCAAACATTAAACTGAGGATAAATTAACAATTTTATATTGCTGAGTTTTATGTAACCACATTAACAGTTTTTATTCTCTCTTCCTTACAGATACTTTTTTAAGAATTTAAAGTCACAGACCTTAGACTCGTGTTTATCGTAACCAATTCACCTCAGTTCATCTCTTTAAAGGGGTAATCTGCTTCCTTACCCAACATAGTTTGGTCCATCCTGAGTGGCCGCTACACAGAAGGTGTAGTATTTAGATCTGTGGGTATAGCCTCCAGGTTCTCTGGCCCAGGGTGATAATTCTTCTCTCAAGGTTTCAGCCTGGGTACCATAGCCTTTGAACCAAAGACTCTGTATTTGAGTCTCGAGCAAAAACAGCACCTGAAGCTTTGGAAAACAAGAGTGCCCAGGGTACCTAGCAACAGAGGAGAATGTGGAATGTGATGACAGGATAGTGTGGAATCTAGTGACATCAGGAGAGCAGTTGGACGTTGGGATTTAAATTGTTTGGATGTTTAGTTTTGATGGGATGGATTTAGTCTTGTGGAGACTTACTGTGCTCTCTAAGCTAAGTTAGCTCAGCTCACGCACCTTCTTGTCTAGAAGATCTAGTCACACAATCAGAGGCAGACTATTCATTTTGTTCTTTCTCCTTGCCAATTCCTCATTCCCTCCATCATTTGATAGAGACCCTAGAAATACTGTGTTTATTTCTCACTTTCTACCAGCATTTTGTAGATAGGTAGTTTCATCAGCACCAGATTTAATAATTAGCTCTCTCTCTATTAAAAGAGTATGTCTGATGTATGTGTGTAATTGTGTGCATACATATTTATTTGTGTGTGTGCATGTGTGTGTGTGTGTATGTATATATATATAAAATTTCTCAAAGCACCTGACCCACTTTCATATTCAGTTACTTCTAGTAGCTCATTATTATGGCCTTTATTATGGCCTTTAGGCCAAGTGCCTTGGGCAAAATTAATAGGAAAAAATGTATATACATATATATACATACACACATATATATACATACACACATATATATATATTCATATATATATATATATTCATATATATATATATCATCCTCATTTTAAAATCAGTACTTGAAAGTTTAGAGTTTAGTTCTAAAATCCAGGTCAGATGTTCACAGGGTCCAAAATGTTTTTTATTATTTTCCCCACACGTACCACAATTCTCCACCTTTAGTCCATCCTTTGATATCTAATTAGAAAAATTCCCTTTAATATTTCATCATAAAACTAAGGATTAAATCCAAAATATAAATGTAAATAACTTTGCTCAAAAGATTAGTACCTCAATATCCAAAAAAGAATAAAAAAATTAAAAATTTCTTCAAAATTTATTTGCAGAATAAAGAGTTTAAGTGTAACTTCCCTTTATCCCTCCTGATCTCTGTTCTGTGTCTTCACCCGGTTATAGGCTCCACTATAAAGAAAAGGAAGTGTATTCAATACTAGACCATACCTTACATCTTTCTTCACAGCTCCTTCTACAACCAGCCATCTAGTCTGGCTGATCCTTTGCAGCAGTCCCCAGTTTCTGCCTTAAGGTGCTTTAGTCACCTAGACATTTCCTTCTTCATTTTTCTCATTTTCCTTTTTGAAAACCTTGTGATGACTTCTCCATTTTATCTCTCTGTTGCCCTGGTAGAGTGCAGTAGCACCAATCAGAGCTCACTGCAACCTCAAACCCCTGGGCCCAAGTGATCCTCCTGCCTCTGCCTTTCTACTAGCTGGGACTATAGGTGCACACCAGGACACCTCGCTAATTTTTCTATTTTTAGTAGAGATGGGGGCCCACCCCTGCCCAAGCGAAGTTGGAAACCCCGAACCCAAACAAACCCCCCCCCCCGGCCTCCCAAAAGGCCAAGAATGAAAGCCACACCCAAAACACAGTTTTTAATACTTGATTATTTATATAGCTTCCTTTTGCTTTAGCTTTTGTTATCTCATATGCAAAAAAAATTCAATTCCTGACTACAAAAGTCCACTATTTTCAAAATATCAACACTAGAAAAACCTGCAAAAAGATAGATAATATCTCCTACTTTTGCTTGTATTTACAAAATATAATCTGGATTATATAGGGTTTTTTTCTCTTTTCTTTTTTTGTTTTTTGGAGACAGAGCCTCACTCTGTTGCCCAGGCTAGAGTGCCATAGCGTCAGCCTAGCTCACAGCAACCTCAAACTCCTGGGCTCAAGCAATTCTTCTGCCTCAGCCTCCTGAGTAGCTGGGACTACAGACATGAGCCACAATGCTTGGCTACTTTTTTCTATAGATAGGTTTAGTTGTCCAGGTAATTTCTTTCTAGTTTTAGTAGAGACGGGGTCTCGCTCTTGTTCAGGCTGGTCTTGAACTCTTAACCTCAAGTGATCCTCCACCTCAGCCTCCCAGGGTGCTAGAATTACAGGCATGAGCCACCGTGCCCAGCCATGGATATAGTATTTAGTAACATTATATTAAACGTGTGCAAAAGAATAATAACACATTTTAAAGTCAAAACATTCATACTAAAGAGAAGTTTACTGATGTAAATAAATGTAGATGGGAGTACATATATATATGTATTACTAGTACTAAAAAGTTAAAGGACAGTGATTTTAAAATGATAAAACTGATTTTATTGAGGGCAAGAAAAATATCAAGGGCAAGAAAATAATAAAATATTAAATTAATTCTACAGAAGGGTGATCCTTTACTCTTGTAGTTCCTAATCCATTCTTTTTCAGTAAAAGAATGGGATCTAATTTAAGGAAGTAATATAGAGAAGGCACAGACATAAACTGGATGCTTGAAAACATACAACTAAATTGCAGCACTATAAGTAAATAATAAAAGTAATTCTGACCTACCAAAGAGGAAATAAAATATATTGCTTAGATTATTTGTTTTAAAATATTTAACCAAACACTTATTGTATACAGGACAATTTTCTTGGCACTGTGAGTCCAAAGAGACTCCATCTGGAATTTGCTCTTAACTTAGATTGTAGCATAAGAATTACAGTGCAAGGTAGAAAAGACTATCTGTTCCATGAGAGTTTCATATAAGGCATAATAAATAAACAAGGTTCTTCAGAAACAAGAAGGCCACCCGTACATAGCTTGGGATGAAGAGGGTATCAGGAGAGGCCTTTTACAAGAGGTGGCAGTTGAAGAAGGTGAGATGTGTATTAGTGTATAATGGTGATGATAACGATTATTCCTGTTCAGGAGAGTGTATAATAAAAAGCATCAAAGACAGGGAAAAGCTGGAAGTGGACAGGAAATTGAGTACATTCTACATACTAAGAAAAAGAATTGTATATTGTAGAGAACTGTGGATATTTTGCTATGTATTCTTTCTCTGGATCACTTATGAAAACATCAGTTATTTTCCCACAGTAGGTACATGGAGAAACCACTTATTATGTGAGTCTTGTCCAAGAAAAGTCTATTTATATCTGTTCCCACCTCTAAGTCACTCTCAACTGACCCAAAACAAAACTTTCTCCCAATTCCAAGATGGCTCGTTTTTTAAAACGGCTATTATGCAACAACCTGTCAATGGCTTCTTAATTGTCTAAACAAATTGCAAAATACAGTAATACATCACTTAACAAAGGGGGTGTGTTCTGAGAAATGTGTCAATAGGTGATTTTATTGTTGTATAAACACCATCGAGTGAACTTACACAAACCTAGATGGTATAGCCTACTACACACCTAGGCTATACGGTGTAGCCTGTTGTTTGTAGGCTACAAACCTGCACAGCGTGTTACTGTACTGAGTGCTATAGGCATGTTTAACACAGTGGCAAGTATTTGTGTAACTGAACACTTCTAAACAGAAAAGGTACAGTGAAAATACAGTATTATAAACTTGTGGGACCACTGTCATATACGTGGTCTGTCATTGAATTAAATGTCCTTTGAGGAACAAGACTATACTACTTTCATGCTTACCCATTAGCTTGTTTAGGGTTTCACAGAACTAGCTTATAGAAAATGATATTCATATGCATAAACATATTTTGATATTTTTACAACGTGATTTCAAAATACCTGTGATTTCTTTTGTTGACAAAGTCACAGTGTGAATACCATTGTGTTTTATTGCCTACAGTCATAAAAGAAAAAAGTTAAATTTTATTTAGAGATAAGAGAAAAAAAATTTTTGTGTATATATATTTTTCCCTTCCAAGTCACAGCACTGATCTAGCTATGGACTCCAACAGAAGTGTTCTTGAACTAGGTGCCACACTACTTATTTCCACTTGTCTTAAATAGTACAATAATAATCATAACTCACAGGTTTTCATATCCCTAACTTCACTGCTGACAAGGTAGGTTTAGTTTATTCACCTTACAACACCTTGTCATCTTGTGACTTTTAAAATCTGTTTTATTTACCAACTGGACTGTAAATTTCCACAAGGTAAGTATTTTACATATTTTATTTCTTTGTGCTCATCTATGGAACCCAGCCTAGTGTTTTACACAAAGTTAACATTATAGAACTAGATAAAGCAAGGCAATGTCACAGATAATATTAATATAATGCATTAATGCAGCTCTGTGTGGAATTCATGCATTAGCAACTCACTCATGAAGCTATTTACTGCCACAACTTAAAACTAAAACAATACTGTGGACTTTTTGATGTCATGTCTCATACAACAAGCAGTATATACAATGATAATATCTCATGTTAGAGTTAAAGTGAATATAAGACAATCATTATATACCAGGTCAGTGTTTTCAAAGAAAGCTGACAGCTAATCCCTAGAGAGATATGCCCCAGAAAACTCATTGAATGGACAATAGAAACAAGAAATAGTGTCATATAATATTATTATAAAGTCAGTCTATTATAAAATTATTTGAAAATTTATCAAAGAAATGGCTTAGGAGTAATCATTAATTATCCCAAACTGATAACTAAGTTATATGAATAAATGTCACAGATTTGGAGTAAATCCTTCTGCAAATAAATGTTCTAATTGAAGATAAAATGATACAAAAGGTTGCCCTAAATTGGCATTTAGCCAAATAACAAATCAAAAGGTTTTCTTTGTGCCAATAAGAAGTCAGGAAATACTTTATTTTCAAAAGCTGAAAAGCAATGAAAGAAAACAGACCCAACTGCAACAAGCCTGTGAAGTATCTCGAAACAAGTGTCTTGGAGCTGGATAAGACCTTGGCTAGTTTCAAGTTTACCCTTGTAGCAAGCATTGTTGTGGTGGCTAAACCCCTCACAGAACCCTCCCACCCCCATCCTGGGATCACCCTTCATGCATGGTGATGTCACCAGAAGCCACGCTTCTCTTCTGTCAGTTAACCATTTTGAAGGCTTGTTTTAGATTATAATTCCCTCAGTCATTTCATCAAATCAGGCACTATAATACCTAATACATTTTTCTGAGTTCCTGTCCAACCAGACCACCAGAAGCATTTACTTTCACCTTCATGCTCATCTTCCAGGATCATCTTACCTTTCTGGCTCTTGTATTACAACCTAGTTCACAGGGGACTTTAACTGCCAACTGCCAAATCATATCCTAACAGACATCACCATACTTCCACATAATGATGAAACCATGCTTGGGAAAGCACAAATGGTTGAGTCTTGTCTAGCTTGGTAAGATATATGATAACAAAGGATAGAAGATAACTAACATATCAAGGCCTGTCTCCTTGGTGAGGGGGAATCTACTGTTTTGTAGCATATCTTTATACCCCTCCAAAGTGAAGGGTAAGTTCTTAGAACTTGACCTCTCTATCACGAAGAAGGCACATCGCCTAGTACGTTTCATCTGGTTCAGACTGGAGTGAAAAAGGCTTTTCCACTTGATCTTCATGAAGACAGAATAAATCAGATGCTACTCTAGGTATCTGTAGCAGATTGAGATTGTGTATGAAGCCTGGAGTAATCCTCAACAGAGGAATTTTTGTCAGTACAACTGAAGTTTTAGTGCAAGGCCCTGCATCCTTCACTGGATGAATTTTCCTACTGAGAACCGTTCCTGACTCCTTATCCAGTTGGACATCATAAACTGAGGACCATCCTGATCCATTAAATGTTATATTTAGACATTCTCAATAGCCCTTCCTCATCAAGTGAAAGCGCGATATGTAGAAACGGGTCTGTTTAGGACCCAGTGATACAGGACCAGGTTGTACCATTCAATAGTTCCTTTTTAAATCTCTATCTACTACCTTAAAATAAATTTTAATGAAAAATTAATTGAGAATTTAAAATGTCAGCCTGGTTTCCATGATTCTGTGAAACTCACAATGGTACAGTTGCCTTTATAGATAGACTCAAAAGGAGAGGGAAATCTACTACATGGGCTGGACTGTGTGCAATAAGTCCTTTTTTATACACTCCTTTGAACAAAGATAGGCTAATGTTATTGTTTACATCATTTTTTGGCAGTAGCCAGATGTCATGGAGACTTGAAAGAGCCAGTTTGAAGAATTTTTTTAACAGAAGTTGGAAGAAGGATGATATTGATAAATACTTCATAATAGGCCCAGTGCTTGAAAGTATTCATACCATGTCTATGTCCACCAAAAAACCACAACAGTAGAAAGTGATCTTAACAATGCTTCATTTTGGGTTCTGGGTGCTTCTTTTACCACGTTAATCTGAATACTCAGTTTGCCAACAAAGTGCCTGATCTCAAGATCTTGATAAAGTGCAGAACTCTGAGAAGCTTGCCAACCTCACTGTGGTAGATCAATTGTATTAGATCCCTTTAATTCTACAGGGTATAGTTACTAGTCCTCACTGGAAGAGACATGTATTTTTGACTTGTTACTACATTTATTGCCAATTCTGCCTCTGATAGCACCACCTACAGACCTCAGAATATTTTATATACTACAGTATTTTCACATACGACATTAATTTTAATCAAGGAAATCTCAACATAGTAAAAGAAGTGAAGCAGTTAGAGAATTTCCCTTGGAGTTATTGCTCTTAACTACTCCATCACAGGCAAAATAGTAACCTTAAAAAATAATGGAATGAACTCTTAAAAGCTCAGCTACAATGCCACTGACAGACAGTACCTGTGCCTGCTGCCTATCTCGATGCAATGTATGCTCCAAGTCAGTTACTGATAAGTGGTGCTACTTCTCTCTTAGCCATAGTACCAATCTGAAGACAAGGCAGTTCTCATCTAACAGATAACCATTTTTAGTATTCTTGTTCTTAATTTAGCCAAATACAGTTTTATAAACTCGAAAGAGGAATCTTAAAAAATACATAATATTTGTTTTACTTTACAGAAAACTATAGAACAAGGAATGACATTATTCCTTGTATGGAAGGAAGATAGGGAAGATGGTGGAAGAGTAAACCTTTGACCCTCCTCTCCCCGGTGGACACACTGACTCAACGCCATGACACAGAACAATTCCTTTAGTGAGAAAACCAGAAACTAACTGAGAGGTTCCTACATTTCAGGTCAGTGCAAAACCAGCCACACTGAAACTAGTAGAAATGTTTTAAAAAAAAGAAACAAGTAATAGAAATGTTAAGTGAGTTGACTATGTTCAGTTAAAAATATGATTTATAAGTTGAAGGGATTGGGGCCATTCAATAAAATATAGTCAAAGAACTAAGGGATGCTAATCCTATAAAGAGAATACTTTTAGGGACTATGGGGAGAGATATAATTGAATCAAATATTTGAAGGTTTTCATATGTTTTTATTACTTGTCAGTAGCAGAGAAAATGAAAGATTAGAAGTTATACTGAATCAATTATTTTGTACAATATATGAGAAATCATTCTGATAAAATTTTCAAGAGATCAAATAAGTTTCTCTATCTATGGAGGTATTTAAGCATGAAATGAAAGCTACTGGAAAGCAAGTTTCACTTTTATTCCTTTATCAATTTTTAATTAACACATAGTGAATATTCAATAACTATCTGTTAATATGAACAATTATAGTAGCTCATAATCACATGCCTAGTTAGTATCTATCTATTTGAGAAACAGACTATATGTCTTCCTGTGCCTCTATATATGTTCTTGAGTTACTTATTGTGTATGTATGACTATTGCACTAGGCAGGGGTTCTCAAACTTTTTAAACAGAGGTCCCTCAGCCCGTTGGAGGGCCGTTGGAGAGTGCAGCGCACATTCCACACATGCGCACTGTGGGCCTGGGACGAGTCGGCTGCTAAGCAGGACAGGCAGTGGCAGCAAGTGGGCTGCATGTGGCCCACGGGCCACAGTTTGAGGACCCCTGCCTAGAGAATGTCAAAGAAAATATTCTAAACATGTCCCCCACCCAGATTCTACACTCTGATTTTCAGAACCTGTTAATATGAAGAGACATCTCTCCTGTGACTATGTTATGTCATATGGTACAGTTGACCTTAAACAGGGAGATCATCTAGATGGGCCTCAACCAAATCACATGATCTCTTAATACCATAAAGGTTTCTCCAGTTAGTGGCAGAGAAGGAAGTCCGAGAGACTCACAGCACAACGGTTAGCCAAGATAGAAGGGGCCACATAGGAGAGAATGCAGGTAGTCTTGGAAGCTAACAGAGGTCCCCAATGACAGCCAGCAAGGAAACAGGGACTTCGTCCTATAACCATAAGGAATTAAACTCTGCCAACTAAGCTTGGAAGTGGGTTCTTTCCCAGAGGTTCTAAATTGGGGCCTAGCCAGGCTGACACATTGATTTTGGTCTTGGTACCAAGAAGATAGAACCCAGCCAAACTGCCTGGCTGGACTTCTGACCTATAGAACTATGAGGTATGAGTGTTGTTTTAAGCTGTGAAGTTTGTGGTAATTTTTACACAGCAACAAAAAATGAATATAGTGACAAACATAAAGAATTTTTCATAGTGTATTAAGACAGGTAATACCATTCAAAATTATTCAAATATATTTCAAATGATAGCTGGTTCTCAAACTTTAATTGTTTCAGAATTCCCTGGGGACATTGTTAAAAATATACATCGATTAGGGCACTAAAACCTCCAATCCAACAAAGACTAGAAATCTTGGTTTAATTTATCTTGACTGGGGCCAGGGAATCTATAAACATTTATCATACAAGAGCTTAGGGGCCACATGGGAGAAGTTAATGTAGATAATATCCAACAACTACTTGGTTGAATATACAATTATAACTGTAAATATCAAGAGAATGAAATATGACTACCAGCCTTTAAATCTGGGTTCAGCAACACTGAATCTGAGGATATTTTAATCTCATTTTATAACTCTCTGAGAAAATTTCAAAAAAACAAGCCAAAGCCAAATATTCTCTCCCTTCATCAAAACTAATAAACAAAAGTACTTACTGCCAGAGTGGCCCCATATTTTTTAAAAAGACTCATGAAAGGATACGATTTTGCCCAAAGAGTTAAATGCAAATATGTAACTGAAGAGCTTAACACTTTCTCTCAGGGAAAAGGATTTACCTTGATTAACAAACTCCTGGGAAAGATGATCTTAAAGGGGTCAAGTGTATGTTTGCGAAATCAAGTGCCTTTGTACTCCTTAAAAAGCAGAGCTGTGTACCTCCTAGGTGTTCATATGTAATGAAGTCACTGCCGGTTTTGCTCACATAGTGAAAGAGTATCGCCTTGGGGAGGACTGTCAATCTTCAGAGTTTGTCCTCTGGGTTCCTCATGTCCTCTTTCCCCTCTTGATAGCTAATCCCTCTAGCTATTTGTGTGCACACTAGCTCTGTAAGTCATTTTACTGAGGAACAGATAGACAGATGGATTGACTGATTATCTTTTGTCTGAAATTCTCCCACAGAAAAATGTTCCTTCAACTAGGCACTTGTAATTTAAACCTTTTATCTCTATTTGTGGAATGAGAGGCTTTTTCCTCTTGGTATTTTCGGCCCTTAACAAGCAGGTGACGTGTATTGTGTTTTGGGAGTGTGTGTAGAGGGAAAAACCTTGCGATCATATGATCATATAAGACCTATTAAGTTCCAAGATTTTTAGAGTAACTTAGAAGTGAATGATTAGAATGTGTACTCCCTTAGTTTTTCTCCTAAGCCTTCCTACCCCCATCCTTCAAAAGTTCTTCTCCCTACTGTAGTGGGTAGCCAGGACTACTCAGTGAGGAAGCCAATATTCTGAGACAGCCAGAAACTTGAGCCACCAAACCCTTCTTGGATTTTTAGAACAAGCAAATTCTAAAATAAGTACTCCAAAAGGCTCCCCAACATATGCTCTCTTATCTCCCACTCTGGTCATTGACTGGTCTGCTCAGATCCATTTCTCTTCCTTCCTTTGCAAACTTTATTTCCTAGGTTTTCCAGCCTATCACCTTGTAACTGAGTTTGTACAATGAGAGACTCTGGCGGAGATGGACTATATGACAGAGAGGATGCCCTCACTCCCACCTACACACATACACACACTCTCAGGTTCAGGTGGTCTGTCTGTCTCCAGCATGGGGTGCATTCCTGTATGTCCCAGCCCCTGCCAGAAAGCATCTATTGTGAATCTGGTTTCCATAGAGGAGCTTTGGTTCTTGGGCTCTAGTATTACCAAGTCTTCCCCTGCCCTTTCACCTCTAGCTATGAAAGAGGCCTTCTTTTGTTATCAATTCCAGGGTTGCTTCACTATCCCTTGTTTGACTTCTCTTATTAATAGCACAACCAACACCTCTGTAAATAATGCCTTGTATTATTTCTGATGGATGACATGGAATGAGTTCCATTTTCCAGATTGGATCCTGAATGATACAATTTGCTTTACCTTGGCCTCAAGATTTCTGTTTTCTAACAATTTTGACATTAATATAAACAATATTTTGTGATTTTTTTTCATAATGTTGATTTACTATTTGATATCCAAGATAATTTCACCAAATTCCCTTATTGTTTCTCTCTCTGGAGTTGAAATTCATTATTGTCAGTAATAGTGATATTACTGAACTTATCAGCTTCTTAAGAATGGGCAATCAATTGGGTTTTGATGACAAATTGGTGACAAACATAGGATTAGAAACTGGTTTCCTAATTTCATATTACATTTTTGTTCTAAATCCTTTTGCTGTGCACACATGTTTGGGTACTGTGAAGAGAAAAGCCTGAAAAAGACAGATATAATATTATGTAGATGAGTTAACTTTAGGTGTAGGAGGCTCTGAGAGACACTACTAAATCGAAAGGCATCAATCTGAGGTTACTAATTTTGCACGATTTCATAAAATGAGGCATCACTATAAATAGCCAACTACTACCTTTAACTCACTGTGACAAAAGCTTTTGCCTACATTTTTTTCAATGAGCAATAACTGAACAACCATGATGTTTTCAGAATTGCAAAGCCAAATTCAAAATCACTATGATTGTAAGAGTACAGGTTGACCAATTATATGATATATATAACCAAAGACAACTGTATTTAACATTCAAGGATGAATAATAGCAAATGAAGTCATCTTATGAAACTTGTGAAAGATTTGAATCAATAGGAGAAAATAATTATAAGAAAATAATCTGCAAATATATGAGATAAAAGAAAACCCATATTAAAATTTGTATTTGGAGGGTACAGAAAATTAGAATCCTATTGTTGAAGAGGAATAGCAACATATTTGTTACTTTTCTATTTAAAAAGTGACTAATTTTAGCCAGGCAAGTTGGCATACACTTATAATCCTAACTACTCAAAATGCTAAGGGAAGAGGATCTCTTGAGCCCAGGAGTTTGAGGCCCACCTGGGCAATATAGTAAGATCCTGTTTCTGAAAAAAGAAAGTGATTTTAACAACTGATAAAATTTATACTTCTTGGGAACCCTGTGAAGTAGAATACATAGGTATTATTTGACCCCATTTGAGTATCAAAAAGATCATGTGATTTATTAAAAGTTAGCACAGTTAGTGAATGATCAACCTGGCACTTAATGCCACATGTCCCATTGTGTACTCTTCTTGCTATGCTATACTGTCTCTCAAGAAAGGCAGGCTTTAGACGTGGTTTGAGTGTGGAAATAGTAGAATATAAAGAAAGTACACTCATGACAAGCGGAAAGGGAGGAGGAGGAGGGAGAAAAGGAGAAAAATGATGATGAAGGTGGCTTGGAACAAGCTCTAAAGTAGGGAGCTCTCAAGTGGTTTGGAGAATAGGTATTTGGTGAAAGCTATTGGGGGTCAGGGTTCATGGGATTCGGAAGAAATATCCTAGGAGGTGTCAAAAATAAAGTGATGATTGTTGGGTGTTCGTATAGAGTGTACTGAAGTAGGAGAAATACCCTCCAAGGACAATACTTCCTCCTCCTCTGATGAAATCCACTAAATTATAAATGGGCAGAGGACAGAGGTTAGGCTTGTTTCTAATTGCTGTGTGCCTTGAAGGTAGCACAATGCTTTGTGTGTAGTAGACAATCAGCAAGTACCAAAAGATTTAAATTGATGACTCCAAACCACCTTAATTCTATTTTCTAAATGCATGATTTTTACAATTCAGAA